ATCACTGAAATGCAAGCCCCTACCTCCGTTAGGGATGTTCAAAAGTTGACCGGTCGTTTAGCGGCCCTCAGCCGGTTCCTTTCCCGGTCAGCTGAGAGATCCCTGCCCTTCTTCAAAGTTCTGAAGAAGGCCAACACATTTGCATGGGACGAAGAATGCCGGAGGGCATTCGAGGAGCTGAAAGAGTACCTAGCGTCGGATATTGTATTGTCTAAACCCGAACCGGGTGAAACTCTGTATCTGTACCTGGGAATTTCCCCAAATGCTGTAAGCTCCGTTTTAATAAGAGATGATGGGGCACAAAAGCCCATTTATTATGTGAGCAAGGCACTAAACGGGGCTGAGAGTAGATAAACGGCGATGGAAAAGACAGCCTACGCGCTTTTCATCTCCGCAAAAAAGTTAACATCCTACTTCCAAGCTCACCCGGTAGAAGTCTTAACTGACCAACCGCTAGGTGCAGTGTTGCGAAATTCAACATCCTCCGGGAGGATGGTGAAGTGGGCAATGATGTTAACTCAATTCAATATTGAGTACCGGCCAAGGTTAGCAATCAAGGGGCAGGCCCTAGCTGACTTCCTAGTAGAAATGACCGGTCTAACTCCAGACTTACCGGTCAACAAGCCCACTGAGCAATGGTGGGAGATGGCAGTTGATGGGACATCCGGTCCTAGAGGATACGAGGGTGGTATCGTGTTCACCACCCCAGAAGGATTCAAGATCTACCATGCAATCGTCTTCGACTTCAAGCTGACGAACAATGAGGCAGAATATGAAGCTCTGGCTGGAGGGCTCAGACTTGCCCAAGCCCTGAAAATCAGCCGGGTCAGTATCAAATCTGACTCTAGCCTGATAGTAGGGCAGGTGACCGGTAACATGGAAGCAAGGGAAGGACGCATGGCACAATACAAGGACCTTGTACTTGCCCTGCTGAAAGGCTTCGAAGAATTCAAGATCGCCCAAATTCCCCGGGCGGAGAACGCGGATGCGGACCTTCTCTCCAAATTGACGCAGTATGCTCCCGAGCACGTTTCGAAACTTGCCCGGGTAGAGATCCTTGACCGTGCAAGCATCGAGAAATTGGAAGTCGCCGCAATAACTGCCGGAAGCCAGTTTGACCGGTCAAACTTGGTCGGGGCGGACGACCATTGGATGTATGATCTGATGGAATATTTAACGGATGGGAGCTTGCCAGAACAACATGACCGGGCAAGAAAAGTGAAGCTCAGGTCCCCCCGATTCCAGATTCTTGATGGAAAGCTGTATAAAAGGGCATTTGGGGGGCCACTCCTGAGATGTCTAACCAACCGGGAGGCTGAGCGAGTCATAGCGGAAGTCCACGAAGGCGTATGCGCGGCGCATCAAATGTCCCGTACGCTTTCCCAGCGCATCATCTTGTTGGGATATTACTGGCCAACAATTGTCCAGGATTGTGAGAGGTATGTACAGAAATGTAGAACATGTCAAGTGTTCTACAAGTACCCCGGTAGACCAGCAACCTACTATCACCCCGTATCGAACGTCATCCCATTCGCTAGGTTCGGGGTTGATATCATTGGAGCATTCCCAGTCGCCCAAGGAGGGAAGAAGTTCGTGATCGTAGCCATCGATTACTTCACCAAATGGATCGAGGCCGAAGCATTGGCCAACATTACCACGCAACAATGCAAGAAATTCATTTGGAAGAACATCATCACGAGGTTTGGAGCGCCCAT